AAACTTCACTGGGCCTGGATAGAGAAGTCTAAGGCAGGTGATTCGGCAAGGCTCTGAGGAGAAGGGAGCCTTCCCTGGACTTTCTCAGCTTTCTACTAGTGTTTAGAACAGAGGGAACCTTCTGGCTTCCAGGGACACATATGAGATTCTTCTACACAGTGGTACCCTCCTCAGACTGAGTTGTATGCAACTGGAATGGGGTGGGTGGGCACCACTGAAGAAGGAAGGGGGGCTTCTGTTAGGGGCCTGGTTTGTAGACTTCTACGAAGCTGTCTTCTGGGCTCCCCGGGTATAGCTAAGGACACACTGGGGAGATCTTTGGAGGAGACATTAATGAGCTGGACTACTCCACAGGTAGCCTCACTTTATAAAGTGGGATCTGTTATGTTGTCAGAAACGTATCCGTATATGACTTTTTAGTATTGCATTTACTAGCTGAGGCAATATAAAGACAATGGCCTTCTGTCAAGGAAATGGTTGCATTGCTTCTAATAGATTATGACAGGTATCTCTCCCTCTGTTTTTACAGATGGGTTAATAATACTGGTAGCTTACAAATGAGACTCCTTAGGGGAATATGAGGATCAGCCCAGCCCACTGAGACAGAAGCTATGTGCTCTGTTAGTTTATTCTGCCTGCAAGAAGTCTACAACTACTTTTGATCACTCGCTGAGATGTTTTACAAAGCACCTCTCATCTCCTTATTATTCTGGTATACAAGAGGATTTTGAACGTATCCGCCATAAAAAAGTGTTAAGAGTTTAAGGTAATGTATATGCTAATTGCCCAATGTTGATCACTATCCAATGTATGAATCAAGACATCATATTGTACCTGAAAGTGTGCAGATATTGTCATGAGAAAAATGAAATAAATGCACACAACACAGGAAACACCTCCCAGAGAAAAATAAGAAGCAGACAAACAAATTGGACTATTACTACCATAGAACAAGAAATCTGGTAACCAAGACCCATCTATCATGGCTGTAGGAGAAACTGTCTCCTCTTTCCTGAGAATCACCTCCTTACAGGTCGACAGGGTGACTCCAGCCGTCTAGCTTAGAACCATGGGGAGGTGTGCAGAGGCAGAAGCCAGCTCTGGGTGGCCTCCTGAGAAACAAATCCATTTGGCGGAGGGACATTTTTAAAACCTGCCACATATGTTAGCTATTGTTATAGCAATTAAATTGTTCGGGGATCTGAGAGGCGAATGCGCAATAAAACCTTTCACAATAAACCATGTGGAGAATATCTCATCCAACCCCTGGAGGTCAAAAGCCACAGAGGCATGTTGCCTTATTCCACAAAGAATTAAGACGCTTTTGACAGCTTGCTGTTTCCTTTTTTCTTAATAGACCAGGGCTCAAGGTTGGGGGTAGAAGGTGAACTGTGTGACTTGGCAGCAGCAGGATTGGGCCAAATGCAACCGAGTGAGAGCTTTTCCAGGAACTTCTAGGCAGGCGCTTGTGCCACTGAGCTATATCCCCAGCATTCCAGGAACTTCTAAAACAGTGTTATTCCTTTTTTTTGGTTTTCCTCCGGTACCGGGAACCGAACTCACGACCTTGCACTTGCCAGGCAGGCGCTTTGCCGCTGAGCTAAATCCCCAGCCCCAACAGTGTTATTCCTATACCACCTTTTTGCCATCCCCAGGAGGTAGTCTTCCTAAGGACGACTAAAGGGGCAAGGAGAGGAAAATAGTTACCTGATGCTTTTCTACAGGACAAAGAAATAGACAGGCCAAATATGTCAGAACAGAATTTCACAGTGAAATGCTTGGGGTTTAGGGAGTGTAAAAGACATATTATGATCATTTGAGTCATTGCATGGAACACATAGATTTTAAAATATTGAAAGAATTTTCATTTTCTCCTCAGAAACTGTAATGGTTTAACTGCGAAAAAATACAGATTCTGGGGGCATACTTTTATTAATTTGCACACTAAGGATTTAAGAGTAAGTTATTTAACTACATGAGAGTCTAGAAAGTCATTCTAAAAGTCATTTTAAAATCTCTGAGATGAAAGGTCTTTGAAGTTTTTTAGTAACTTCCGAAAAATGACTAGTGTTTATCTCTGAAGTTTATTTTGGAGACTGCTGTCATTCAAATTTATTTCCTGAAATAGATTTCTAATGAAGCCAGCATGACATTCAATTATTTTTTAACTTTTCTGCTTAATTGTTTTAAAATTTGAGATTTAGAATACCCTAAATACCACAAAATGCATGCTTAGAACTGTTTAAGAAGAAAGAGCAGGGTTGATATTTACAATCAGAATACCTTAGGCCTCAAATAACTGGAACTGTCACTGTCATTTTCACTGTGAGGAGGTCTAAGTTATGTTTGGGAATGACACAGGTGTTCAAGCCATGTCCTGTGACCTTGGGTGCAAACCCAGGCCAATTCTGGATGGATGACGATACATGGACAGTGTTTCCATTTGCTTGATTCTAAAACACCTTCACAATGTGGTTCATTTTATTGGAGGACGGTTTATGACCAGCAGAAGATGTGCAGAGAAAACACCTGATGGACAAATCTAAATGTCGCATCTCAGCTGGTGGCTGCATTTGATTCAGGAACCTGAACAAACATTCTCAGAACAAACCTCTAAGATCTTAGCTGTGACACTTCCAACCCATCCTGCTGGGCAGGGTCTGAGGGAGGATCTGGTGCAAGCTTCTCATTTTACAGATGACAAAACTGAGGTTTAGAGAGGCAGAGGTGACTTTCACATTCAGAATCTAGGTCAAAAACCAAAATCACCTAAATTCAAATTTCAGGTCTCCCACTGAATAGTTGTGTATTTTGGAGCCAGTCTTTTATTCACTCCAGAGCTGCTGCTTCTCCCAAAACTAAGGGTTTAAGGTGATTTAATATAGTTTTCCTTTACTCCAAATACTCTTTTGGTTTTTCTATAGCACTATGTCTTTGATTTCATTCATTCCTCTATCCATCCATCCATCCATCCATCCACTCATTCCATAGTAAGCAAGACTTACTCAAGGAGCTTGGTGGCTGCAGATGAGCATGGAGAGGTTAGGTGTGGAGAGTATCACAGCCCAGTGAGTCTCACAGTACAGACAGGGTTCCCAGGAAGATGGTGTACAAGTCTTATAATGGGCACGCAAGAATGATGGAATGACCCACGGGGGCGGGGCATGGTCTAACTGTTAGGTAGGCAGCAGAAGAAGGGCACTGGCATGCAGATGGCATTAGTGGTATCTGCAGTCTCTTTAATGAAGAGGAGATCCAAAGGCTATTGTCTGGTAGATCAGTTGGATGTGGCATGGCTTAGCGAGGAGGAAAGGCACGCAGCTCTGAAAAATACAACTCACTCACCAACGCTTAAGCAGGCATGGACTTCAACTCTCAAATTCACAGGAGCACAGTACTGTGACCCGGGAGGTGGGCCACAATTGCACGTGCTTCAGAGCCATGGCAGCACTCGGCCTAACACTGGTGAATTCCTCACTCCGCAGAGAGAAGACGTGATTTGCATTATAATTTCTGACTTGGTAAATAGCTAAAAAGAATACATAAAGGAATTTTCCAGTGGGCATCATTTGATGGGCTTTTGAATTGCCTTTATTCTAGGTTTTCCTTACCCTAAACCTTCACAAAAGAAGGAAGACAAACAGCAGGGCATCCCCTCTCCCAAACCTCGTCTAATCTTTTCGTAATTCAAGACTGGAGAGCTGCTGCACGCCCCAGCCTCTGTGCTGTGCTTATTCCCCATGTGTGCTTGGCAGAGCAAACAATTCTGTTTACCAGCACACAAGTAAGCAGGTGGTAATAAATAAAGCTGCCATCGTCTCCTTGCTCACCGTGTTTAAAATGACACATTGGACAACTAGGTCTCTATTGCCTCCCCTTTTTCTACACAAGGGCTGAAAATGCAGTAAATCTTAATTTCTAATATAAACTCCAAATACAAAAAAGTCATGGGCCAGTGTAGACCGTAGTGAATTTGATGCTCAGATGGTGAGGCCTTGAATGCTAAAGAGGTAAAGCAATGGAAACCGAAGCCAGCGGCCCCCCTTGAAGCAAGCTTAGCTTTGTGAGGCAGCAATTTTATTAGAAACTAAAGACACCAACTCAGACGGAGCCAAGTCAACATTTCAAAATGGTTAGCTTGGAACTGAACCCCACAATTTTAAAATGCCCTCTGTCCTAATGGTTCATATTAGTAGTTAGCTTTTATTGCAGAGCTACTGTGCCTAGTCCATGCCATATTCTTTCCTCTGTTCTCACTGAGCCTGAACATTTTCTCACCAACTCTCCCACACGGGAATAAGGGCATTCTCTTTCCTTTATAACTCTGGCAGGAGAGTTGAGTTTGAGTTACCCATGGATGCTGGGCATGGATGAATGCTGTCCAAGATGAGTGAGTCAACATGCGTCATCTTGTTGATCTGCAGTGGTGGAGTCCTTTGCCCGACAGAAGCCCTCCTCAGTCCTGTCCATATCTACTTGTCCACCTTATTTCCAGCCCCTCTGCTTTGTTCACTCTGCTTTGACCTCCTTGCACTGTGTCCTCCCTTCCTAGCCCTTCCTCCTCTGTGCCCTTGTTTTAGGTCAGCTGTGAACTTTGATTGTCTTTCTCTCCACCTTCATCTCATATTCTCTACCAAGCCATAAAGCCTGCTCATATTTCACATGTGTCATGAAGCCTGTCCTGATCCTTCCCAAAGTGGAAGTCACCTTTCCTCTTCTGACAATCCAATCCTCATTAAGTCTGTGAAGTCTGTCTTTGCAAGGATGCTCAGACTAGCGTTGTTATAAAGACAAAGAATAGGAAGCAACATAAATGCCCTCGAGAGCATGGTAGTTAAATTATTGTATTCTTACATATTGTGGCCAGCAATGCAGCTATTAACCATGTGATGGTGATCTAAGTATTAACTGATTTGAAAAGATGCTGTCAATAGATTGATAAATACAAAGGCAGATGTGTTTTTTTGTCTTTAGAAATAAAGATACTTTAAACATCACCCGCTTCAATTTTTAATGGTTTAAGTATCTCTCCCCACTCTTTACCTGCCCACCTGCCCACTCAGGGCCCCCTCCTCTGACCTCAGAAGTGGCATCAGGTTATTCCTGAAAGTCCCCAAAGGGTAGAGAGGGAAGTTCCCATCTGCCCACAGCTACAGTCACTACGCTGCACCTGAAGATGCTTTGCTTCATCTTCTGATGGAGTCCGTCATGGGAAAGATGTTGATGTGCTTCAAGACAGCAGTCTGGGAGTTGGTACCGGGTCCCACTGGGTGCCACAATCCTCCTGTCTCCCTTTCCTCCATCTCCATATGTGATGAGAGTCTTCCACATGCCAGCCCATGAGACACAAGACAAGCAGAACATGATCTTTGTCCTGAAAATGCTCTCTCACTATCCAGGCTTCCACTCCCAGGTTCTGCATCTAGAATCTCACTACCTCACATGTCAAATAGGCGCCTTCTGCCAAAGTACAAGAATGTGAATTCCCAGGAAAGTGAAGATTTGAAGCAGCAATTCACACTCAGGAATATTGAGGAATACTACAAAAATATTCCTTCTTCACTGCAGAGACCTTCTGGGAAGAACGATCTATTCTGTTCCAAATCCTGTGATCACTTTTGTGTGTGTAGATCCTTGTGTGGATTCCCTGTGAATTTTTGGGGAGGGGTGTACTCAGTTATAGGCATGAGGTTTTAACAGGTTCCTAGAAGAGTCACCATGTCAAGTAGAAGATGTTAGGTCTCGATCCCTCATCATAGATGGGGAATGGAGGAAGAGGTGTCAGGAAGACTGTGGCACCCAGTGCAGGCTCCCAGGCTGATGGCTTGAGGCATATGAACATCCTTCCCATGATGGTCTCCACCAGAAATAAAGCAAAGAAACTTCTTAGGGCACCTTCAGGAGCAGGTGCAGCACAGCGACAGTAGCTATGCGCAGATGGGAACCTACCTCTGTGCTCTTTGGGGATTTTCAGGTTTATTTAATTTTTGTCTCCTCCCCCTACCTCCCTACACCCAACCTATTAGAATTCCAATCCATTGGCCTATAATTCCAATTGTATCATTTGTATCTGTTTGGTGGCTACATTCACTATCTTTCTTGCCCTTTATAACTTTGGAGAAAGCCTTTCCTCTCCACTGATGAATAGATGGAGCATGGATGGAAAAACCTTCCATATACAAATACCTGTGATCCTCTTCTTGTGGAGTCAGCAAAGGAGGAGGGTCTTTACTGGGATGGCCCAAGTAGTTGGCTTCAGAGCCCACAGATGAATGCTCTCAAATGCACATGTTGTCTTTCAAACCCGAGTGTATCCCAATTCTTCTTCAGAAGCTTGCTTTGGGTTTTCGGGCTGATTGTTTTGCATTTTGATAAAACTAGAGTCTTCAATGACAATTCTGTTGAGGGGAAATTCTCTTTAATATTTTCTTGACTTTAAATTTAAAATAGTACACATTTACTAGCAAAAATATGTAACACAGAGATATGAAAAGCAAAACATTGTAGAACATGTTAGCCTGTTCACCTGAGAAAACTGCTAAAAACTGGCACATCTCTGGGTCTCTTGTTTAAGAACTAACGGACTATTTGACAGAATTAGGCCAACTCACTTATGCTCTTTTCCAAGGTCTTTTTCTTTTTCTCTCTTTTCTACTTAATACATCAGAGTCATGTTACTCTGCCTGCTCAATAATAATCTTTCCCCTACACAATTCCTCATGTCCATGGCACACCATGAGCTCCTGTCTTCAACACCAGCTTGCACATCCGGTCCTCTGTGCTGATCCTGTCTGGCTTCTGGTTTGGAAGCAATAGCGCAGCTCTTGGAACTATGTCCAGGCTCACCAGAGACATCCAGAAAGCCCCACATGTGGAGCTATCCCAGTTCTAAAGGTGGCAGCGTACTCATAGAAGGAACAATGTCAGCACAAAAATGTAAAATGCTATTATGTCAAAAAGAACCCAAGACATCCACGCAGGGCCTTAGCTGAGGTACTTGCCCATGGGATCTTTCTCTCGTTGCTGAGACAAAATACCCGACACTCAAAGTTAAAGGATGAAAGGTTTATTTTGCTTACTGTTTGAAGAGGTTTCAGTCTGTAATTAGCTGGATCCAAGCAGGGTGGCTCGGCAGAGGGCCATCACAGAGGGGAACAGTTCATGGTGCCCACGAGATCTCAAAAGCAACAAGGAGGGAACCAATTAATGGTGACCAGAAGGTAGCAAAGCAAAAAGGGGGCTTAACAGCATCTTTCTGCCCATATATCTTATTCAGTCTGCTGGGATTAGGGTGATGCCAAACTAATCAGTGGACTGATTAGTAATCAGCCACCCATCCTGAATCCCAGAGTCACACACTCTAGATTCAGCCACCTCTGAAAAAGCCCTCTGACCACATGAGGCTTTGGGGGGACATCTAGACACAAATCGTAACATGCCTGCACAGGCATATATGTACACAAATACAGGTGCTTGTCTCCTCCAGCCAGGACAGTACTTATGGAATCCTTGGAGGTGAATTTACCCCCCACTTCTGGTACTTCCACTGTACTCTATACTTATCCTGTACTATGTGCCTGGTACCAAAGAGGCAGTAAATGATAGTTGATGAATAAGGCTGATGGAGAGGTCCAGAGTTTGCTAGTAAAGAACCATAAAGTATTCCTGGTTTCACTGTTTGGAGTCATTATTGCCGCTGCTTCACCTTAGCAGAAATCATTACAAGTTTTCCCTCATAAGCCCAAACCCATGACCAAATGTGGAGCCAGTACTCCCCAACCTCCACCTCCTGTGTATTGTCAAAAACACATCACACATTGTGGCAATCATATGGCCAAAACTTTATGGCAACCATAAATTGGAAACTACTGCCTCTGACAGTTATGGGCCCATGTCAACACCGGATCACATTGACTCTTCTGGAACGTGTTTGCAAAAGTGCCACCCCAGTCTTGGAAGCTGTTGACATCAGAGGCTGTAAGTTAATGAGATGTAGCCCCAGAGCATTGTGGGTCTGGACATCCAGGAGATTTTTTTCCCCTTAAACTCTTCTCTTTGATTCAGATAGTACAGGGCCTGTCTTGGCCGCCATGTTTGGCAGCTAAGAATGGCAGTTTAGAGGGAAATGTCCAAGTTTCTGGGTAACTGATGATATCTGAGGAGCACTTCCCTTCCTCCCTTTTGGAAGAGGGCAGTAGATATGGCTGGTGGCAGTGAGAAATGAAGGTGGCCGTGAGGTATGCTGAGAGGAAAAGACTACTCATGAGCTGTGTATTTTGAGCAGCTTCTGTCTACGCCATTGCCACCCACTGGGCATGACCTTGCTAAGAACTGCCCTGTGATTCCATTCCAGTGGACTTGCAAGCTGTGAGCTCCTTGCCAGTGAGTGTGAGTGGTGTGTGTGTGTGTGTGTGTGTGTGTGTGTGTGTGCGTGTGTGTGTGTGTGTGTGTGTGTGTGTATGGGTCTAATGGAGTGCCTGAGAGGATACCCTGGCTCTTCGAAGTTTTTCTTGCTGACTTATTTTTCCTTGTCACTGTACTGTCTTTAACTTTTACAGAAAGACAGACTCTCCCCCTGTGCAAATATGCCTCAGGGTACACAGGAAATTTCTATCTGGGCAAGTCAAGAAAGAAAGAGGAATTGCTGGGCGTGGTGCCACATGCCTTTAATCTCAGCCCTTGGGAGGCTGAGGCAGGAGGATTGTTGTGAGTTCGAGACTAGCCTAGGCTACAAAGTGAGCTCAAGGCAAGTTTGAACTGCATACTCAGACACTGTCTCAAAAAAGACAAAAAAAAAAGAAAGAAAGAAAGAGAGAGAGAGAGAATCTGACCACTTCTATCAGGTGCCAAGGGAAAGAGCTGTCATGTGAAAATTTAAGACTTGTGTCTCTTTTCCCACCGCCTGTGCCCTGATGCAGGGCATCACCCTAAACTGACAGACAGCTGTGAGTGCTTTAGCTAACAGCAGCCAGAGTGACAGAGGAAAGTGGGCATCTGCGGAAGTGAAAAATGAGGTCAAGGATGTCGGGGAGGCCCACAGGGTTGTTTACTGCTTCCCTATTTCTGTCAGAATTCACAGGATTCTAGGTGATGAACTGAGGAGACAGTAACTATCTCTGCCTTCAGGTAGTTTACATTCCAGTGGTGGGAAAGACACCTCCACACCACCCAAAGCCACCAAAATAAAGAAAGGCAGCAAGTGCGTGGTGACTGCGAGCACCACAGGAGTTCTGAGGAAGGCGGGAAAAGCTGCTGAGGGCTGAGGAAAGAAGAGTTGCAAGACACCCGAGAGCCTTGAGATTGGGATGAGTGTTGCCCCATCAAACAGCGTGTTCCAGGCCAGGGAAGAGCGGGAACAAAGGCAAGGAAGAGGAAAGGAGAAAGTGTGTTCAAGAAGGAGGGGCAGCTTAGGAAAGTTGGTGAAGGGAGACAGGGCAGCTAAGGCTGGAAAGGTACCACGAGCAGTCTTCCAGGGCAGGGGCGAGCTTTGCCCATCACCTTCACTGAGGGGACTACGCACAGCCCGATTACCAGTTCACAGTACCTGACGGTTGTGGAAAGGTTACTTAAGATGACAAAGAGTTTTCAAACTGTATTGTCACTTTCGCATCAGTGAGACAAAATACACAACATCTACAATTTAAAGGAGAGGTTTACTTGACTGGCAGTTTCCAGTGGGCTCCGTCCAAAGCTGGCTGGCTCCAAAGCAGAAACAGCAGGATGGAAGGGCCTGGCCGGGGAAGGTTGTTCATCCTGGGGCAGCCAGGAAGCAGAGAGAGAAGGGGGAAGCCAGGGACCAGAATACACCCTTCCAGGCCACACCCCCAGAGACCCAGCCCCACCCAGGTCCCACCTCCCAGCAGCACATCCAGGTACTTAGTTCATCCATGGCTGAATCCACGGATAAGTACAGCGTGCCCGTGATCCAACCACTTTCCGAAAGCCCCACCGCTGAGCACAGAATATTTTAGAGGAACAGTTTGAATCTAAACCATAACAAAAACTTAGATCATGTTCTCTGGATCTGTGCAGGATTTGGATGCAACTTCAGGCAGGTGGGATGCAAAGGGATTGAAGAAGGGGGTGCTTTTAAGCACCTAATTCAGAAATAAATATGATAGTCCAAGCATGAGATATCAGGGACTCGAGGAAGTTACAGCTCAGAGGTAGTGATGGTGGGGGTGACGGTGGTCAGTGTGAGAGGTAGCGAGGTTCAGAAGAACAGGCTCACAGAGAAGGAAGGTGCAGAATTTTCAGGAGACTCTGTCTAGTCCCTCAACCTAAGGCAAGTGAACAGCTGAGCCCTCCAGAGATGGACATTTCCGTCTTAAGGCTGCTGTCTGCAGCCACGGGGATTTCACCATCAGTTCACGTGGATATTTCAACATTTTCTCTCCATCCGCAAGTGCAACCCACAAAACAACTCTACTTTCGTTAAAGTTGATTTTTTAACTTACCCGTTCACCCACTCATTAGTTCGCTCATTCTCTTATAATTATAGCACATGTAATTTGTGTTCCAGCCTCTGCCAGGCCTTTGTAGAGATAAATCAGACCTTGTGCCTACCCTCAAGAAGCTTGCAGTTCAGTAGGTGCTGAATTTATAAACATGCATGTAAGAACAGGCTATAGCGTGCAAAAGGCAGTGAGCACACCAAGAAGACATCAGTGACTTGTTGAGGTGTGAGGCCAAGAGATCTTAAGCAAGGAAGCTAGAGTTGAGTTTTTGTTTTAAGGTTTCATCAAGTGGGCAGAAGGAAGTTGGAAAAGAACGCACCATTGAGACGAGTGTATGCAGACACCCGGAGGAGAGAATATTGAGGTGGGCTCCCCGCCTGGGACATGTGGTGTAGTGCCGTGTGGTGTGGGCAGCCAGTGATACTAGCAGTCAGCAGATTTGCTATGTACTTCCATTAAGGCAAGTGCTGCAGAATGCTGCGAGAATATTGAGATTTATTCCAAAACGAAAGACTTCAAAGGGATGTCAAGGTTTTCTTATGGACTCTTCCAGGGTATGCCTGCTGTTTTAATCCACTCGGGCTGCTATAGCAAAATACTGCAGACTGAATGGCTTAAACAACAGAAATTTATTTTCTCACAGTTCTAGGAGTTAGAAGTGTCAGGTCCAGGCCTAATAGGGGCAGTTTTGGTGAGGACTGTCTTCCTGGTTTGCAGATGGCCACTTTCTTGCTGTGACTTCACATGGAAGAAAGAGAGAATTAGTTATGCTGTCTCTTTCTCATGTCTCTTATGTCTTATGTCTCTTCTGGTCATATGAGAGAAGAGTTCCACCTTAATGATGTCCCTTAACTGGTGGTACCTCCTTATAGACCTTGTTTTCAAGCACAGTCACATAGCGGGTCACCATATCAATACATGGATTTGAGGGGGGTTCTTTGCACTGAACCCAGGTACCGGCAGAAGAACTTCTCTCACCCCTTTTTGGCTGCATCTGTCAAGCACTAATAGTGCTGTCACAAAATTTCACATATATTTCAGTCACTTTTCTTATCGTTGAGATCCAATATCTGACGCCCAAAACGTAAAGGAAGAGAAGTTTATTTCAGCCCACAGTTCAGTCCATAGTCAGTCAGTTCCATTGCAGAAACAGCACGGCTGAGGGTCACGGCCACGGATGAGAAGGGAAGAGCAAGGAGGGAGACACACACTTCTGGGTACAGCCCCAGGGACCCACTCCTAACTAGTGTCTCCATGACTCAATCGCCTTCTGAAAGTCACACCTCTGAGCACACAGGGCCATTGGAGGATGTTTTGATCTAAACCATAACAATGAGGAAGTTGTGAAGAAAGGAGAGACTCACAGGAAAGCCAGAGATTAAACCACAGGCCTTGCGCATGCGCTGAGGCTTTCCCACCCACGTGCGCCTGGACGCCCCTGAGGGGAGCAGCTCCTCAGATTCCGGTTTCCCACAGATCCTTTGGCTGCAGTGTGGGCGGGGACTGGAGGGAGAAAACAGAAAGCAGGGAGAATAACTAAACTGGTGAAATGTTGGAGCCTGAGGGTTGTTCACAAACGAAAGGTCTTCAGGTGGTACAACTGAAAAAATTAGTTCCAGACTTGATTTGGGAGAAAGGTGGGAAGGGGGTGGAGGCATCTGGGAGGTGCCAAAGTTTCAGGCATCGATGAAGGCTATCGTTCCTTTAGTCAGGTTTTGCAGGAAGCAGAGAGCAGCTCTAGCTTTCGCCCCTTCAAGGTCCATCCTACTTTCAAAGAGTAGTTAAGTTCCCTTCTGTCTTTGACTTGAAATCTTCCACCATTTTTTTTTTTTTTTTTTCAGTAAAATCCAGTTGTTGGCAAGTTAAAGCAAACATGAGCATGAAGAAAAAGGGATTCTCTGTCAAACTGTCTTTCCCTCCATCCCAGGCTTATCCGATAATACCTGTGGGAATTGCTTCAGCGGCCTTGCCCAGCTGCCAGACTGTAAGGAGGAGGGTGTCGCTCTAGGAGAGTCTCCAGCGAGGGCATGCAGAGGACAAGCAGAGGCTCTCACTGTTGATGAGAAACTGGAAATGGAGTGTCGTAAAAGGAGGAATGACAGATGGAAGTGGCCCCAGGTGAGCTTTGCCAACACGCCATTAGCTTTCTCCACATGCTTTTAGAGGTATCATTTCCTAGGTTCTGCTGCCAAAACTTTCTGAAATGCCAGGCCTGAGTGCCAGGGCAAGCTGGACAGCCATCCAGCTTGTGTTGCTGATGCCAGAAGATCACAAATGCAGCCACTAAGAGCAGTTTGCCTGATAGCTCAGTACATTTTCATTTTTGCCAAATTGATGTGGACTTCAAAGTAATCTTCTGGACCTCATGGTCCAGGTGGCAGGCCCAGAGAGGTAGACCCAGATGGAGCCCAAGCTGGCCTCTGGCAGTGGTTTGGGGGGCTTTAACAAATGGACCTCCTTAGCACATTTAGATAAGTCTGTAGCAACCTAGGGACTTCAGCTCTGTCGGTGTCCCTGTCAGCCAGGAGTGATTGCAGAACAGCTGTCGGTAGTTGGATCAGGTCTCAATGTCTCCACAGCCTTTGAGCTTCCTTTAAACAAAGAGGTGTCCCACTTCTTTCCCCAAGACCCTTCCCATTCCAAAAGTCAGCTGTCAAAGGCATTAAACCACGGATATTTGTTTTATGTTTCTATAAAGAAATATGAAAGGCAATAGTATCAACAGCATAAGAATTGCCTTGAGCAGACACTGACTATCTATCTCTTATGCACACTTGATCTAAACTATCAGACAACCGATAGCCATAGGTGTAAATTTGCTTTATCATTTATTGGGTGCCTGTTATTTTCCAGGTGTTGAGCTGGTGCTATTTGGGAAGTGTTTGTAGAACTTGATTATCTGCCTAATAGGGGACAAGGACAAGGCCATAAATAACTGGACCTCAAGGTCTAAAGTTCAACTGAGGTTTGGCTCAGAACACACAAGTTGTGCATGGGAAGGGCCGATTCTTAAATCAGCAGCGGTCCATAGCAAGATGTTTTGTACCGTGAGGGGGAATGCGGGGGCCACTTCTTGGCATGGGTCATAGACCTTGAAAGGTGAACTCTCCCTATAGGTACGCGTGTGTCTTTCCAATTATAGGGGAGGGGAGGGAGAGACTCACCTTTGACCTCCTGTCTCAGCAAATGCTTGCTGATTGATGGCCTAGTAGGCTCTGGCAAACACAGGGGTCTTAGGAGTCACTTTAGGACTTCTTGTAGGTTTCAAAGTCCAAGCCCTGGCTTGACCAACTGTCACCTCTTTTCACATGTGAGTTCACCCAGTCCCTGCTGTTTGAGCCAGCACCATTTGAGCATATTTGCGTAAGACAAGAAATATGTAAGACCATAACAAGTAGTGTCTTGTATTTTATATTCTGCTCTCAGCGCACGGTGCGTTTTCTCCTTACTCCATATCACCAACAGTCATTTGGGAGCTGCTATGCTATGTTTAATCGCACAGCAATCCTGTAAAGTAGGTATTGCCCTTCCTGTTTGTTGTGAGAGTGAGGCTCAGAGAAGCCAAGGTCTTGATCAAAGCTGTAAGTCTCTCTAGTGGAGTCAGGATATGAACTTCCATGTGTCTGATTCCACAGTGGAAAGGTGATAAGTTGTATAATCAGTATTTCTACAGATCTCAGCTGGGTAAGGAAAGAATCTTCTAGATACCAGTTTTCTTCTCCCCTCAGGGACTTTAGAATAGGTAAAACCCAGCTGGGTGTGTTGGCGCACAACTATAATCCTAGCACTGAGGGAGGCTAAAGCAGGATTGCAAGTTTGAGCCCAGCACGGGCCACTTAGCAAGACCCTATCTCAAAATAAAAAATAAAAAGGGCTGGGCATGTACTTTAGTGGCAGAACATCCCTAGGTTCAATGCTTAGAGCCAAAAAAAAAAAAAAAAAAAAGGGTAAAACCCTGTGGTCTATGTGACACTGGCTTGTAGAGATGGGCAGTTTGGAAAATCTCTGGAACAGTGATGCATGGCCTATGCCTGCTGGGAGCAAATCTGCATACCCAGCTTGCAGGACCAGGGAGATGTCATGTAGAGTCCATGCAGGACAGAGGAGCTCATCTGTGGGAAGAGCTGTGGTGAAGGAACTATGAAATTTGTAGAAGTGAGGCTTCCTGCATGCAACCGAAGGGCAGGTTGACACTCTGGAGACTACCATAGCTCCTTGCATTGAGGCACCAGCTGCAGGTCAGCACTCCTGCTAACTTAATGACTCCTGCCTTGTGCAGGAGGGATTCAAGTAGGGTAGGGCCACAGTCTAGGATTTCAAGGCACTGGGAGCACCTGCCTCAGCCAGGAGCGTGGTCAGACTTGGTTCTTTTGCACTGGAAAATGTGGGAATTTGGTGTCCTTTAACCAAAACTAGAGTAGACACTGCTTTCTGCTCTAGCAGCCCAGGCTTTTGCTAAGGTAATCGTTAGGTCTAGTTTAAGAGTTTTAGAATATTTGTTGTTGATATGCAAAGAACTGAATTAATAGCATGTTAATGTTGCTTTTTTCTTAGTTAAGGCAGGACTTATTGAAATTTCACTAGAAAAAAAATTTTTTAGCCTCTATGAGACTCTATATATCTAGAATTATACTGTATATTAGGATCATTTCAAATGAAATAGTAAGATTGTAGAGGTGTGTGATCAGGTTGTCAAAGAATTAATGGAACCTGCTCCTCCTCTTTGCTAGTCTTGCTGTTAGGATTTCTGGGTGAGGAAGTGGGTGGGGGTTCGTGGTCACAAATGGTCTTACCTGAAGGATGAGGGGAGGCTCTATTCAAAAGCCAGAAGGTGAGACCGATTAGAAAAGGTCTCACGCGGATAACATGCAGCCAGGTGATCAGATAATATCCAACTAGGTGATAATTTCAGGGTGTATTAAAACATATTATATATCTTACAAATTTATAATTCATTTATTTCATTAAAAAACATTTACTAATACTTGTATAATACGTAGTCAGCGGATAACCCAGCATACAAAAAGTATCTGTATCATAAACTCATCCCTCTTCTGCATGTGCTCATAGTCTCCATATGTATTAATAGAGACAAGGACACATTTCTGAAGGACGAGGGGGCCACCAGCATCTCTTCTCTCAGGGAAGTGGTGTGGGTGGCAATACAGGAAGGACATATTTGTTCATCATTTCATACTTTTCTGTACTCTTGCAGTTTTGTTAAACAGTCTAAAATCTGAAGTACCTGGTCTGTTTGTCTGAGGAAAAATGTCACTGGCTTGCATGATGACATTTAATGTAGCAATTATTAATGGTTTTACAAGGAGCACTGTGAATTTTAAGTCCTCTACTAGAGAAATGTATTTGACTAATTCATAAGAAGGTCAGGCATGCTTATATCCGAGAAAACAACAAAGGGACACAACAAGCATACACTAACCATTTGATTTTCCTTACCAGTGATCAGCAGCCTTAAAGCAACACATCTGAATGCTTTGTAGTGCTAGAAACTGCTTTGGGTACTGAACATCTGCCAGCTGCCTTTAGCCAGACAGGTGTGGCAGCCTGGTCCCATCTGTCTTCCCCATGCTGCCCTTGTCCTGAAAGAAAAAAGAAAAACGACCTCATACAACAAAGTGGGATGTACAAGTTTTCCTGAAACTCAGTGTATAGTTCCCTTGGCTTTGTTGAGAAGTTTGTATCAGACTTTGTTCTTGTTAAATAAAAATTCCCAGAGGCTACTGCTTTGGGCTAAGCTTCTGTACTGGGCCCCAACAGATCAGGCTAAAAATCAAAATGGGGTCACTCTTGCTACAGTTGCTCATCACCAAACTGAAGGTAAGTAAACTATTTGACCTGGGGAGAAATCAGGATGACAGAAATAGCATATTTCCCAAACAGCAAGTTCTCACTGGCATAATGAAGTTGCCCCAAACTTAATCCTTACACCAAAAAGGTAACTTGAACTAATTACATTGAATTAATGTAATTTGTTTATTTTGGAGTGTAGGTGGTGCAGGCCCAATCCCAGGAACAAATATACCTTCTCAGCTGCATGGCCAGTGAATAGTTATTTTTCTATTGTTAATAGAAACAGATATTTCTGAAGTTTTCAAAAGTCATTTTTCTGTGGCTCTACCTTCCTGTTGCCACCTTACAAAAATGTGAATTTGAAGCCGCCCATCTTTTTACTTTTCATTTCTCCTCTCTTCAGCTTTTTCTATCTATAAAACCAGCCTCCTTTGCCTAGCTCATCAGAACACTTATCCTGTGTTATGGAGTGAAGCATTGCCTGACTGTAGAGTTGAAAACAAAGCCAATTAAGATCTTCAAATTAAGTCACTGTAATTTTGTCCTTTTGATATCATCAAGGACCTTGGCCCTGAAGAGGCACATCACTTGCTTTGGAAGAGGTGGATTGTTCTCTGTAGATGCCTTGTATACTCCAGCTTCCCCCATTCCCTCCTCCCCCACGAGAAATGTGTGTCCAACCACACACGTAGTTGTGGTGGTTTGGACCTGAAACATTCGCCCATGTGTTTGGAAGGTAATGGGATCATGGTGATGCCGTGTTCATCAGTGGATTCATGTGCTGAGGAGATTAGCTGAACGTTCTGTTAGGATGTGGGGACTGGCTGAAGGTGGTTGCTGGAGGTGAGACCTGGAAGGGTGTGTCCCCCGGCTCCTCCCTTTTTTCTGTGCTTCCTGACTGCCATGGGTAGACCCTTTTCCTCCTCCGTGCCCTTCTGCCATCCTATTTCTGCTGTGGAGCCTGCCAACCAGGGACTAAACTGTGAGCCAAAACAAACTGCTCCTGTACGTTGTGGGTACTGGGTATTTTGTCCCAGAGACCAGAAAAGTGACTCAGAGAACAAGAGCGGGGATACTTGAAGATAAATGCAAAATCACAGGACACTCCAGTCTAGAGCTGTATTACCAGCTGGATACTAGGAAATAGGCTGAGGCCCACTTGAATCAGATTGGCCCAGTTATGGGACTTACAGTGACTTAATCACTTACCTTGGAGTCTGTTTCTTCATCTGTAAAAAAGGAGGAAAAATATCTGCCTTGAAAGATTATTGTAAAAATTTGAAGTAATAAATCCCTAGTGAGGGGCAGGGGGTTTAGCTCAGTGGCACAGCACCTGCCGGGCCAGCGTGAGGTTGTGAGTTCGATTCCCAGTACCAGAAAATAAATAAATAAATAAATAATAATTAAAAAAAAATCCCTAGTGATATGATCAACCCCTGAGATATCCATCAAGCACTGCATGTTGACTATATTCTAAGCAGTACTCTGGCCATCAAGACAGTTTTCAAATACACAATGCACTCCTTACCCTGCAAGAATTCAAATCTAGAGTAGAAGTGAAAATTTTAAAAAATATACTAAATCAGGTGATGAATGCAGTAAAAAAATATGAACCAAGTTCACTGGTATTACAAAAATAGGTGTGAAATACCAAATGCAGAAATTAATATAGGAGGTAATGTTTTGATAACTAAGGTTATTTCTTTTGGAAGATTGATGTACTTCATTTATTCACTCATTTATTAAATGATCTAGATCCCTCATATGGGCCAGAAAAATCACTCCTATTGCCCCTGGCCTGGTTGAAGCCAGCAGTACCGGAAGGCTGGTGACCTGCAGTAGTCACCTAACTGACTTTTCTCCTCCAGCTTTACCCACCACCATCCATTTGTTTGTCAACTGCTATTGATGCAGTGATCACTTGCATTTATACTGTATTTGGGCCATTTACAAACGCTTCTCACAAATGTCGTCTAAACTGGTCTTCACCTCAACCAAAAAGGTATGGAAATCACAGCTGTGATTATTATAAAGTGGGGACATTAGAAGTTAAGTGACCTTTTTAAAAGTCAAACTCATATTTAAACTCACCCTTTCTGGGCCCAAGCCCAGTACTTCTTCCATGTTTTTCAAACAAAGGCGCTGGACTCTTAAATAATATTATGGCTTCTTGTACTTCAATGTAATGGACAACTTTGTTGGTTGTTAGAGCCCAGGAGAAGCGTCTGTTTGACTGGAGATTTGTGCTGCTCCAGTCACTCCTGTCAAATGTGAGATTGGTTAGCGAGCACAGTGCCGCCTCCCCTAGTCCGGAGGTCTCTTGGGTCAGGCTCCTCTCATCGGCATGGGGTGGTTTTCACAGGCAAAGGGAGGGTCTCGGCAAAACCCCTGGCACACAGGGGTTTCCCTTGCTTATGCTCCAAGAGGTCCAGCTGTGAAGGGGCTGGCTGGGGTTTGGAGCACAAGAGTGTAGACCCAGCTCTGGTCCAGAAGGGCCGCTGAGGAGCATCCGGAGCCCCTCTTGCCCTGCTGTTAGAGTAACTGTCTTTTGAGTAGCATTTGATTCTGCTTCATTAATTCCATAAATTTCCTTCTACACTCATTCATTCATTCATTCACTTATCCATTAATTTAACATGTATGAGGCACTGCAAAGCCACGGGAATGCAGGTAAGAGTAAGACACAGTCCTTGCCTCTTTTACCCTCACTGCAGGCTTTATTGATCTTTTCAGTCCAGTGCCTGCTTCCTTGACTCCTCTGAGGAAATGCCTTGCTAACTGCCCTCCTGCCAACAGGGCTGAATGTAGCACCATGTGATCCACCCCAGCAGCCACGCTTACTGGGCCCTGGCTGGGCATCTCATCCAGGAAGTCATCCAATTGGCTGACCCACAACGTGGCCTGCTAGGAAAGTATGTGCTATATCAGTCCGAGCTGTGCTTCTGGAAATCTGAGTTGGGAAATGCGGAGGGAGAGGGGCCTTCTAGGGGCACAAACTGTACGGCTGCCTGACTTGAGGTCAAGTGGGTCTACGCTGGCTGAAACCAGGCTTAAATGCAAGTGGCAGGGCAGAAGAGGCTTGATTAAAGTGTGAGGGATGTAATGGTGAGAAAACAAACAATATCTCCTTCACGTGCGATGAAAATATTTTAGATCATACCCGCAGGGCCCTACATAATGTAGGTCTTGCCCACTTGGCAGCTTTACATTCCCAACAAGCACTGCGGGGGCCAGTGTGCAATCACTGGGCAGGGAAGGGTCCTTCCCCGCACAGCGCCTTGCTGTGAAATGTGCCTTCTTTGTCTCTCCACACTTGCTCAGCATAGCATTACCTCCAGGTTCCCCTCCTTGCCTCACTGAGGCCCCATCCCCTGACCAGCCAGAGTAGGGAGCCCTTCTGCATGTAAAACCATAAGCACGCGCCCTCATAGCACTGTCCTTCCTTTTAGCTCATTTGTGCAGTGATTCATTCATCTATCTCACAAATATTCTTAACCCTACCTGTGTTAAGTGCTGTGGAATATGATACAGTTTTTGGTCAAAGTTCTTTCCATCTCCCTAGGAAGACGTGTGGGTTGAGAACATGTAATTCAGTGTTCCGGGTACTGAGATCTTTCTAATTGCTGGCTGCTCACTGGCCTTCCCACAGCGCTGTAATTTTATTGCAGACAAGGACTTTGTTTCTGTCTTCTAGTAAATAGTTGCTGAATGAATACATGTGAAGAGACTAACATCACTGAATTTTGCTGGAATAGTAGGAGTACTATTTTGAAAACACTTTCCTGTTTCTGTATGATTGATTCTTTTTTTCTGAAATTTTTCTAACATCATTTTCCTAGGGAAGGGGAAGGCAGCTGTCCCTTAGAGAAGGAGGAGGGAGAGTTCTTTTGTAAGGAGGCAGGAGAAGTAGGAAACTTTTCAGGACAGGATTGAGGAATAAAGCAAAAGTTTAGAGCTGAGTACTCTTAAGTCTTCTTCCACTTGGGGCTTAACCTATGGGATACTTTTGTGGGTAAAGTACTCAGATGGGGGTGGGGCTGTCTCAAAGCATGGTTATTCTGTGCTTGTTCAGGGCAGTAGGAATGTCTGTATACCTCTCGGAGGACTTGTGGTCAGCCCTACTTCCTCCTCAAGCCAGAAGTTGGAAATGGCTGAGGCAGGAGGATGTTGGGATAGATGAGCTAGCACTTCCTGTGGCCCTTGACTTCTAAGTGATGTGTAGTCAGGACCAGGGAGTCTTACTGATTTCTAAGATGAGTAATGGATTGCACAGAACATGGATCAGGACAAGAAAACTACAGAATCTGATGTATAACTGGAGGAGATGTAAGATTTGTGGCTTTGTGATCATGGCAGTGGGTTTCAAAGCACTGTCTTTCTGTCTCTCTCTGTCACCATCTCTCTCATACAGAGAGAGAGAGAGACAGAGAGAGAGAGAGAGAGAACAAAAAAGGAAGTTCAATCATATTTAACACATGCTTGAGTTGAGTGGCTGTCCATGTCATTGAACTGTCTAGTCTGGGACAAAACTAGATGAGCCATCCTGAAGTGCAAACAAGTTATCATTTGAAGACCTCAGGGAAGATGTCTGTTTATTTCCTGTTGGATTATCTGCCTCCTTTTAAGAGCCAAGCGTGATGTGCTGTACAGTTAATTGGACCAAAGTATATTACTTATTCCCTGCACTGTGGCTAGTGGAGTTGAACCCCTTCCAGAAAACCAATGTGTTTTTTGGGACAGCTACTAAACAGATAAATATTTTAAAAATAAAAACAGTGGTCCCCCAGGGATGTCCACTGTATCTGGCAAGCTGTCATAGTTGCATATCCATTTTTGTGTCCCCTGGTCCTGAAGGGGCACAGTCCTTCAGTTGTCACTAAAGACATTTTCACCTTGGGACTGTTGTTCTGGTTGGGTATTTAATCTGGTGATTTCATGTCCATACATCTCAGCAAGCTCCATCTTTGCTTAGGGGGCCTTACACGTCCTTCTCAAAGCCAGTTCTCCTCATAACAGATCTAAGTACCCGATGTGGGTTTAATGCATACAAAGGAATAGTCAA